TGTTTGAATCATCATGTTGATTGAGAAAGTTTGTGCCTGGTTCACAGTTATTAGTTAATAAACATGTTCTACCTGACGAAGTTGTATTTTGTTTGCTCCATTACTCAATTTTGTTACACTTTTTTAAGTACTTTGATTTAAAAAAAAAGCATTCAAATTCAGTAGACAATAGGCGACAGGCCCCTACCTCAGAAAGCATCTCGGAGCATTCGTAAGATCAACTATTTTCCCGCGCAACCACTGTCACTGACACTATGAGTATCGACATCATGCTTTTAAGGGCTAGTTGAAAACCAAAAGGGCTAGTACAAACCTTACCTTACTAGCCCTTCGGGCTAACTTGCATATTGTCCTTATTTCTACCCCTGATAACTGCAGGATTTCTGTTACAGTATGAACTCATCTCAGCCGTGTAGCACCAGTTGGGACAGGCAACCTCGATGGAAAGACGACCGCACTGGTTATAACAACAGAAGACGTCCAAAATCCATTGTGCTATGAAGGAAAACAAGAGAAGACAGAAGACGTCTAAAATCCACTGTGCCATGAAGGCTACTACATAAAGCATTGTAGTAGAAGTACTGCGGCAACTAATGTATAAATTATATTTGGTAACATTATAAATGATAAATAAATAACATTTTAAAGGACACCACATTTTAAAAAAAAATGTGAAAAAAGATTGTTAGTGTAGGGAAAATCAGTATAAATTAAAGTGCGTTTTTTAATTGTTTATATTTTAGTACGTGTTTCAATTTTCATTTCATTAGGTACATGCTGTGGTATTGTGAAGACAGCTAGTTTTCCGAGTTTTCATCAGGAATATAATTTGTGCAAACAACAAATCTTTAGCTCTTGTGAATAGACAATCCAATATATGGTGGGTTAATCTGGTTCTTTACAACACACGTTATTAAGGACACACGTGGTATAGGTGCGTAATTAGCAAACGACATGGATTTGATTGACTATATATAGCTGTCAAGTGGGTGCATGGGTATCAGACAAGAATAACACAACGCGACACGCATAATATCGTTATAATTTGTTACTGGATGAGTGACTGGTATATATATGCAGAGGGCACCTTACATGCAAGTTCTTCTTCCTATTTCCTAAGTGAGTTCTACTGATGCAATGTTATCGTATACTGTTATACATCTATGCTAGAACTAAGAATACCTCCTCCCCATTTTAAATGCATAATAATCTAAAATGTTATTCTTTTTGGTGAATATTGCACATGCGCGAGCACCGTTTCAGGCGAGTAGTACGGACTGAAGAAAACTGCATAATATAGCTTGCTTAGAGAGGGAGAGGTGTGGGAGACTGAGGAAAGGCGGCAGGTGAGAGCTGAGGGGCGGTAGACGAGGAAGGAGGCTGAGCGAGGGACAGGAAATGCAAGGGGGAGGACGCGGGTTGGGATGAAGTAGGAGTTTTTTCACTCTACAGGCTAAGGCGCTCTCCTAATTATAAACACGTACAGGTCTACTGATAGGAATTTATTACAGAAATCTATGCTGAGATACACCCTAACCATATTAAATGCATATTCATCACAAAATATAACTCCTCTGGTGAGATATTGCACATGTGCTAACACACTAACGCAGCCAGATTGTGTACCGACTTCTAAATATATGCAGAGTTTTTCACCCTACAGGCTAGGGCGCTCTCATTAGTCCTAAATATAAACACAGGTCTACTGATAATAATTTATTACAGAAAACTATGCTGAGATACCTCCTAACCATATTAAATGCATATTCGTCACAAAATATAACTCCTCTGGTGAGATATTGCACATGTGCTATAACACACTAACGTAGCCAGATTGTGTACCAACTGGTCGGTATATTATGCAGAGGGCACTTTACATGCAAGTTCTTCTTATTTCTTAAGTGAATTCTACTGATAGAATGTTATTATACAAGTCTATGTTAGAATATCTCCTCCCCATTTTAAGTGCATAATATTCGCAAAATATTATTCTTTTGGGGAGATATTGCGCATGCGCGAGTACCGTTTCAGTCGAGCAGTACGGACTGAAGAAAACTGCATGATATAGCTTGCTTAGAGATGGAGAGGGGTGGGAGACTGAAAAAATGCGGCAGGACAGATAGCTGAGGGGCGGTAGAAGAGGAAGGAGGCTGCATGAGCGAGGGACAAGAAATGTAACGGGCGGACGGGTGGGGATGAAGTAGGAGTTTTAATACCTAAACAGGCTAGGGCGCTCTCCTAATTATAAACACAGGTCTACTGATAAGAATTTATTACAGAAATCTATGCTGAGATAACCCATAA